GGAATCAGAGTTTTCCAACTCCCCGAGGTGGACTCTTCGTGTCCACCAACCCGGTTAAAGCGCCGGACATTAACTTTTCGTCCTCTCAATTTCGTAAACAACACCCCCGCCATGAGAAGGCAGTGAGTAGGACTTCCCTGGCAGTGGCTATATACGCGTGGCCATGTGAGGGCATTTCGAGAGGGGGAGCGGACTCTCCCCACCCTCGGTCGTACCAGGGAATATGGGGGGCAAAGTTTTTTTTACCTAGTACATCACATTTGCCCCCAAAAACGTGATGTATTAGTTAAAAATCTCAACACTGTGATGTGACCCAGTACATAATGAAATTTTTTTCTAAAAATAAAAGAATAACATTTGACAATTTAAAGAACAATTCGTTTTTCCCAAATTACTTTCTTCTATTAACCTATTTAATTAATAATAAAATATTGTGACTTTTAAAAAAAATCTTTTTTTTCTTCAAAATAATAACATATCTAGGTTATGGAAGATATATGTCATAAAATTTTAGACTTATACCCTGCTGATGGGAATACTGGTGATGAACAAGTTGGAAGTAATATTAACACATCTACAACTAAAATAACAACGAATAATATTAATTGTAACAGTAACAGTAATGTAACTACAGGTGAATTACCAATTCATCATGTAACACATTCAGTATCATTCGATTCAAACAAATATCATGGAATAAATAGTAAAGCAGAGCCACCTGCTAAAAGGCAAGCATTAATGCGTTCGTCAGGGAATAATATTTATTCATCAACTGTACACACTGGTCATTCTAGTGGTAGCAGTAATAATAATAATATTAATGTTACTTCATCGATGACGAATAACAATCCTGCAGTAATGAAACATGTTCCATATCCCTCACATTATCGTCTACCAGTTGGTGCAATTGCTAACAATAATAAAACAACTGTCTATAAATGATATGATGGTGAAATAAGTAAGTGATATATTATTGTTTTCTAAAAGAAAGTTTGATGGTATTCATAGATTCTCCGCATGTAACTGATACCGTAACAACTTACTTAATGAATCTCATTGAACTGCAACTCTGATCTGAAGGTCACGTACTTACTTACGCCTGTTACCCCTCGTCGAGAAGCAAAGGCCTCCAACCTGCACTCTCCATCCATCCTTATCCTGGGTAATCCTTTCCAGTCCTTTCTAGTCACTATTCATTCTTTCCATGTCTGCTTCCTATTCCTGACGTAGAGTGTTCTTTGACCTTCCTCTTTTCCGTTTCCATTCAGGATTCCAAGTTAGGGTGTGCCTCGTGACACAGTTTGATGATTTTCTCAATGTGTGTCCTATCCACTTCCAACGTTTTTTCCTAATTTCCTCTTTACCTGGAAGTTGGTTTGTTCTCTCCCACAGTAGGCTGTTAGTGATGGTATTGGCTAACAGAAGTTAAATATCTTGCGTAGACAATTAATTATAAATACTTGTACCTTTCTGATGATGGTTCTCCACGTCTCAGCTGCGTACAGTAGGACTGTCTTGACGTTTGTATTGAAGATCGCGACTTCGATGTTGACTGACAGTTTTTCCGAGTTCCATATGTTCTTCAATTGTAAGAACGTCATCCTTGATTTACTAATCCTTACATTCACATCTGCATCTGAACCTCCTTGTTCATCGATGAGGCTTCTCATGTACATGAAAGATTCCACATCCAGAGTTTCTCCATCAAGTGTGATTGGGTTGGTGTTCTCTGTGTTGTACTTGGGGTCTTGCTGTTTCCTGTGTGTATGTTGAAGCCTATTGATGCAGAGGCTACTGATACAAAATTGTCTTCATCTGCATTTGTTGATGTGTATTGGATAGAAAGGTCAGGTCATCTGCAAAGTTCAAATCTTCTTATTGATTCCGAGCTGTCCATTGTATTCCATGTTTTCCCTCAGATGTCGAGGTCTTCATAATCCAGTCAACCACCAGAAGAAAGATGAATGGAGAGAGTCGGCAGCCTTGTTTGGCTCTGGTCCTCACTTGGAATGGGTCTGTCGGCTGTCCTCTATGCACGACTTTCCAGTGTAGTCCGTTGTATGGATTCCGTGTGATGTTGACGATCTTCTCAGCTATACCATAGTGTCGAAGAAGTTTGCATAAGGTTCTCCTATCCATACTTTCAAACACCTTCTCATAATCAATGAAGTTGATGTATAGTGACGAGTTGCACTCAACTGACTGTTCGACGATTATCTATAGTGTTGCGATTTGGTTTATGTACGACCGATCCTTACGGAATCCAGTCTGTTGATCTCATAGCTGAGCACCTACTGAATCTCTCATCCAGTTAATCAACAATCTGTTACGAGTGATTCTTACTGTTAATTTAATTTCATGCAACCCAACAGTCACACAAATGTTCATATTCTCGGCTTTCGACTACACTTTTTTATGTGCTAGGATTAGTTGTATTAAAATGAATGGAAAATGTACTCTAATGATTCAACTAGTCCTTCATACATGTTCAGAATAAACAAATCAATGTGAAGATGTAAATGATAAAAAATATTTTTCCAATAGTCAGTAACTCCTATTCATCTCCAGTAGCGAAACTTTATTATCAGTTCAGGTGTCACAACTTTTTTCATCCATCAGATATTGAGCAGTACACGAATTCCAATACATTCATATCTTGTCTTTTTTTTACAAACGGTGGACTATCAGGGGGAATATACCAATAATTGAAATTTTTATTTTGAGATTTCCAGTATAGGTTTTAAGGCTTTCGTAATACCCTGTGGATGCACTTATAATTTATATTCATTCTTAGTTCAAATAAATTTAGAACAGACAGTATGTCTAAGCAGGCTACTATATAATGTAAAACCAATAGAAATAATACATCGTAATCAATTTTGAGTTACATCATCTAATATTTCATCATGAAGGCCTTAATCAGAATTCCTACTGTGAGGACGGTCCACGGGTGAACTTGATAAAGTCCTAAGATGTTCAGAAAGAGTTGGAGATATTCGATCCAATCATTTCTTAGATGAATATTCCAGAATCCCTATGTATATCTTCCCTATTGGCTAATAACCCCCTGTATGCGGATTGGAGAACTGTAATGATGATTTGGCTTTTACTAAAAATCATGAATACCTGACAGTTCTGTACCATAAATGACACTGTTTAGAATAGCATTTCTTTCACTTGTGTTCTGTTTTCTCATTTACCACTTGGAGGGGTCTGGCATTCGAGTGTTCTAGTTGTACGTGGTATAATGAAAAACTGAGCTTCTAGATATAACACCTACTATTTTAAATTGTTATCATATCTCTTCATATTTGTCTATCTATGACATTTTCTATTTTGATTCATCTCAAAAACTCTTCATTCCTATTTCACAATAAATAAATACCTAAATTATATTTATAAATAATCGGAAAATCCTATTGAATGCATAACATTGCTAGAAAACATTAACATCGTTGGATGCCGGCTCAGTGGTCTAATGGTTAAGCGCCCACGTGCGAGACTGATAGGTCCTGGGTCCTGATCTCGCGAGGCGGGATCATGGATGCGCACTGCTGAGGAGTTTCATACTAGGATGAAACGGCCGTTCAGTGCTTCCAGGTTTTCCATGATGGTCTACCTTCACTTGACTCACGAATTAAACTATTAAATTATTTATAAATTACATAAATAAAATGATTTTTTCTCTCATATTTTCAAAGTCAGTATTTATACTATATTTTATTTTTTTCCCCTCAAAATTACAGGCATTCATATACACAACAATAATTTATTATATAAATCAAATGGTGAAGCTTACTTTATTTATTGTTTGCATTCAGTGCCTGAAAAGTATTCGATCTAGATCAACTTTGGATCAACAATTTTTTTTAAAAATGTAACTGATGTATTCTAGCATTCAGGTTTTTCTGTATATACAAATTATATATCTAAATAAATATATATTTATATCTGTGATGAGAAACCTAATTTTTTTCTTGGAATTAACGTTTACTCTGTACCTGTTTTTTTCTTCTCTTTTCCCTTTCACTAACATCAAGAGTATTTTCATTGTATCACATTCTTCTCCATATGAATTCGGTTAAAAATAAGAACTATACTTTTCACTAATGAATACAATAACTAACAATAGTTTTTGTTTGATAAAACATGATTATTCCTTAGAAGATACTAATAATCGATAGTTGTTCTATCGTGTTTATTCAATAGCTTAAATGTGATTAGATACTTTCAGTTTATCTGTTCGTGATACCTTTCACAGTGACTATCAATAATGATCGTGACTTCATTTGAATGTCAGTTATCGATTTGCACATCGTTTTTACTCCCTTCCCCATATATCGGGTGATATATCTAAGTCTTATACAAAAACATACTCATTTGAGCCGAATATAAAATTATACGTAGCTACTTAGTTATATTAAATGTATTAACATTTTGGTTAGAATGTGTTCCTTCATCTGCGTGGTTGAATTGTGAAGCCTTCATTGGCGTTCTGAACTACATCGTCGGGAATTATGTCATATAGAATTGATCTATTTGACTATTCATTCATCATTGTGTTCCTGCTAACTGTCATGTCCAATTGGAAACTTGCTACCTGACTAACTTACCCTACCTGTGTAAATTGATAAGTCAGGTCACCGTCGATATTTCTTAGTGATTTCAGATTAACTCTTAAGAATCCTCTACGATCCTTATTTTTTCGAATTAGAATTTCCACATTTTCCCAATCAAATTCTTCTCCATAATTATCTACGCATATTGATGAAATATGTTATATCTTCACACTAATAATCTATGCTCATCTATACACAAATAATAGGGAAATCCACTTTGGTCAATATAATGCTTGCTACAACTGGCGCACTTTATTTAATGGGTGATACTGCCACTGATAAGTCTTGTCGATTGAACGCTATATTCGTTTCCTAAGTTATCCTGGTAACCCGCAACCTAGAACTACACAGCGACCTGAACACCAGAGAGAAGACGCAAAGTATGAGGGAAAATACTTTACTCCAAGGTTCGTTCTTTTACAGAAAATCATGGGTATTTATAGATGTTAGCGTTTGTTAAATCAACACCATATTTCTGCCAATCCGTTAACGACATATTATGCTAATGACCATACCAATAGTAACACGCCACGTTGGAATTTTAGAATGCTCCATCATGCTCTGATTGGCTAGGACTCTTCGGCTCCTTTTGGGCATCTGGAGGCTCCGTTGAAGTTCTACGAAAGCCGACTCAACAGCCACCTTCTGCATTACATTTTGAATAAAACATAATGAATAATTTCTTACGATCTCAATTATACAAGGATATTGACAAATTAAAAAAAAGAGGTATACTGTCGAACCTTTATTAGGCTCTCCTAATTAAAATACGTTTACCGTTTAAAATGATACCAGATCAATGTGGCAGTGATGAATTGTAAATTTTAATTTATAATTCTAAACTGGTTGCTGTGATCGTTAGTCTGTAAATCAGTCATGGATATTTCTACGAACTGTTAGTATTGACTTGAAATATTATCACTAAATCAAACTAAGAAATATGCCTAATTCAATCAAGTGATGATGTACTTACGCAAGGTTATAAAGAGCGAATGAAGTTCTTGGATGGTTAACATCTTTTTACAGTGAATAAACAAGTCAGTTCTATTCAACAAGAATATACACACTAAATGATAAAAAAATATATATATTATGCCACTCAGTAAAAAGAAAAAAAGAAGGTAGGTAGTTGATAAAAATAACGAATTCGACGAATCGAAGTTATTACAATTTTATGCAGTAAATTAATTCTTCAGAGAAAAGCAACAATATGTATTGTAGAACGTCGGATGCATAAACAGGTGGGAGAAGCAAATGTTAATTTAACTATTAAGAAAGATATTTTCTCCTTGGCATCTATGTCCAAGTGTAATCGATCGAGCTGAATATTTTGATCTTGAATCTTTCTATCTGGATAATAGGGGGACTAACTGTAATTATCACATGTTCATTCTTAAAGTTGTTTGCTGTACGTTCCGACCTTCTTCAGGACAGTCTATATTTGTCCGCTTTGAATTGGATGCCATTTTTCTTCTGATATCTTGTACAATAAAATCATAATCAGCGTCCAAAAGCAAACTAGATTGAGCTATTCGGCCGTAGCTTCGATTACTGAATTTATGAAAAGCAGCCTGTAAATAAATATTAGTAAAATAAACATGTGCTTAATCTCTACCATCTGATCAGTTAGCTAAAACGTATGAACGGTAAAAATGAAGTGGCTCAATGAGTATACTCATAGTATATTAATTATTACATGGTATTATCGTAATATATACATCAAGTTGTACATAATATTAGTGTACTCAACTTGACACATCCTCATGTGACGGTTAATGATACACCTCGGCTCTTGGAACCGAATAATAGGCACAGATGGGTTTCAACCTGAGATATATTGGACGAAAGCCTATCATTTTAAGTACCAACCCATCTCGATGGTAGATATAACAGTGAAGATTACTGATTACATTCGGACAAACTATTCTTGCCGTTCAGGTTTGTATACTCGTTTGCTGTCTAAACACATCTATAAATCAGTATTTTTGCTTACTTCACCATAGAGCCATATATCTGTTATGATCGTAGCCGAGCGAACAATAAAGATGTAACTTGTTATTATCTTCACTGAAGTTTCAACATCACAATACGTCAGAAGTTTGGGACATTGTAGATAGTATTGTAGTGACTCACCATTTATCACGAGAACACGACTGGTTTAATAGAAACAATTCTTATTATAACCAACTGTACCAGTGTTTGTTTTAATGTGCTTTTGTTTAACTGTGCTAATGACAGCTATTTTGTGCTTCCATTCTTATACTCACACTTTGATTGTGACTTCGCGCGAATTCGGTTACGTTCTGTAACCAAGCTTGTATCCTGGCACGATCTCGGTATCCTTTCGATACCACGAGATCGCCGGCAAATATATATCTCGAGTTGGTCCATTAATTGCCTTCTGGTATTTGGCTTCTCGGAGATTTTATGGATTTATTCGGTTACGTTCTACCTTCGCCTTCTGATTAACTTGGCACGTTTTTCTTGGTAGCGGTGTTCATATTTAATCCCAACTCGACACCACGCTACAGTATCATTTAACCCTAATATAGTAACTTGCTCCGAAATTCGGATAGTGAATTTCACTTCGTTTATCAGTCTTATAATGGTAATCCAATCAAGAAAAAGTATCCTCCAAACATAATTCGCAAGCTTTCTGGTAGTTCGAATCTACGTTATTCAGTTTAATCCACTGGTTAATCAGACTCCATCACATTACTGAGTATGACTACAAATTATTCGCCAAATAATAACCGATTTCATGATAAGTGACGCATCTTCAACTCTTTGAAACAGCATGAGTTTCCATAGATTCCTAGTTATGAATGCTTGCAAGTGGCAACGAGCCTGTGGGGTGATTATAGGGTCTTGACAACAGACTAAATACCTAACGTCTAAAAATACTGATGATTGGTTTTGTATCGCTCTGAAACATTCCTCAATCCAGAGACTCAATACATTACATATCACCTAAGGATGGTACTAGTTGACACTCAGTGATCAACCGATATACACCAATGTTTACCAAGTAGTTATTTGATTGTATACTGTAGTTTCCGCTCACCGAGATCTGTTAACTTGTATGCATAATAATCAGAACAAATCAGTATCACCCTATTGCTATTTAGTCAACAAGTGATTGTTCACTCATTCTTCGTTTCCAACAGATAGTGACGCGTGAATAACATAAATAATTGAGACAAGCAGTATTGCTGCACTCCTTTTTCTAAAACTTAATACATACGATTTTGTGGCTACTTATATCTATTTAAGAATAACCCTTTAGTGCTAAACGTACCGATTTCGAGATTTCTTTTTTTGTTAAATTTCTTATTTGGATTTATTACTTACCTCGTAATTTCTGTTGTTTATATTGGAGATTGGTAAAGTTCGTACAATATTTTGCACATATGTAAGTACCATTGGCAATAGATTGGTAACATCCTCATGTCCCATACTTAGGCCAAGTGCTTTTGGCCATGTTTCAAATGTTACTGATAAACCCAAACTGCCATTATTTTCAATCCGAATATCATCTGTTTCGCTTTTTCCATTTTCATACTCTAATCGTATAAGTTCACGTGCCAAGTAGACGCCAGCTGCGCATTTTACACTAGCTAAAGTACCTGCAGTTGATAGTTCAGTTAAGTTCAATTCGAAAAGATAACGACAAACTAATTCTATCTAAAGATTTTTAGGAGAGAAGCAGAGAATAATTTTCAGTCACCAATTGCCTATTATTATTATTATTATTATTATTATTATTATTATTATTATTATTATTATTATTATTAGGTCAGAATACAAAAATGCCTATACTTCTAAACTAATCTAATTGCAAGACACGGGTTTTTAAAATTTCAGTGCAACTAGTAAACAGACTCATGTTAATATGTTCTATCACAAGAAGCACATTTTGCATTAGACCTACTCAAATTGTAGTAGAAGCGAAGTTCAAACAAGCAACCTAATAACTGATAACCCTGATGCACTAAACACTAAGCCATTGTAATCTTCCTGTCGTTCAAAGAATCATGTTTTCTTTCCTATGGAGACCAACTCGGATTCCTAAGATATCCTTGGTCAAAAGACTAGTTCAGTTTCGGGAGAATAACTATGTTAGTTGAAGTTGTGGCTAAGGATTGGTTATTATTCGGACCAAAATTTTGTTACGTTGTAAGTCACCAACTTTACATATACTTGTTTGGAACGCTGTCTTACTTATCTGTTAGTTCGATGAAATCACAGTATTTATGTTATCTCATTTATCCAACAACTAAACATGACAATCATTAGCTGAATTGACTGTTAGGTATAGCTCTGTGTTTTCTTACCACTTTTATTGTTCCGCATCAATAATTTACAGGTCTTAGTAAAAGCGAAATTTAACGAGTCTCTTTTAACAAATTAACTTTATCATTATTTCACTTAGTTTTATTTAATTATAATTGGATCTGGAAACATCATGCTCGCCGCAAGATAAGTAGGTAACGTTGAAGCGTATGAGGTTTAAGGTTACATGTAGATGGAGAGTTTTAAACGGAGATGAGTCGATTATTATATACTCAAACTTTAATATTTATCCAGCATAGAATTCATCACCAAAATCAAATGGAATTCCAACAGTATAGATCTTGGAAGAGCTGAAGATTGAAATACAAAGCTGTCTTATCTAAATATCTATCCAAAAATTTTAAATTTCCGATAAAATCGAGCGGTTTAATGGGCTCAAAATCTTCAACATCAAGCTTCTTTTTGTTACATCAGTCAGTTAGTTACATGCAACACGAAACCCGGTTCATATATTCTTCGGTTCAAGTTGCCACACTGCATGAGCATAGTGATGAAAAATTGTGAAAACGAACCCCGGAGTAGAAGAAGTAGTGGCAGTTTCAGCAGTAGTACAAAAAAGGGTACAGGTGAAAGTATAAAGAGATTTAGAGACTCTGGAAGTACAAAGAATGAATGTATTTGCGCCATTGCAGAAGACTTTAATCCATGTCACCCAAAGTCTTCAGCCATTGATCATGATAATCACGTGGAACCCAACCAGATATTCTCCATCTGTTTGTCGATGACTTTCGTGAACTGATCCCTTGTTTTGGTTAGACCTTCCTAGCTCTGTTCCAGCCTACTGCTGTTATTACATTAGTATCTGCGCTCGTGTGTCAACCAACTTGTTAAATCACTCAAACGGGAAAGTACAAACCCTAACAAGTAACCTTATACCCGTTGAACAAGTAGGTGGCTATTCCGACGTCGAATGTGAAAGGTCCTGAGCCTTAATCTGAACATAAACACTAGGATCCAGATACGTAAAGCTGACGAGCATCAGCGGATGAAACACGCATCTTGAATTTCACTGCTAGGCGTAATCTAACCAAGTGCCAGTATCGAAGAAATCTGCTCAATATTAACTTATGCCAAAATAAGCTATTCTGTTCCGGTACTAACTCTTCCAAAAAGATTCTCTACAGTATCGAAATAAACGTTATCTATTATATCATAGTTAACATCCTTATAATTAGTCATTGTTATTCACTATTATTTAAAAAAGCAGTAAGAAACAGGAAGGACTGGACATCTATTTCGTCCCGGTACGGAACTCATCAGCAGTGCGCATTTACGATCCCACAGCAAGGGGTCCATACCCAAGACCTTCGGTTTCTCTCACGTATACTTAGTCTCTAGAGCGTGGGGCCGGTGTACAATTGTGTAGATGTCTAACTGCTACCAATGCATAATATCGTTCAATCACCTTCCAATGTAGTGAATGGGCAGCTACTTTACACTCAGTATTGTTGAACTCCGCTGGTTATGGCTTCTCACTAGAACTCCGGAATTATCTATCGAAATTAAACGCTAGAGAATACATGAATATTTACTATAAGGAGTTTACAGAGTTCTTTTACTTTTATATTCTGTATCATGGACCGATCATAGTTAACCTATCGTACGTAAAAATAACTTGATAAAGATACCGAATGTAATCAATTTTTTATTCCTGTATTTAAGATAAATCTTACCTTTGCCTTGCCAGTTAGAGTTAGATCATTACAAGCTGCAAATGCACGATCTAAAAAGTGATGCGGTAAGGGTATATTGATATCAAAATCCAATGCTTCTAACATTTTAAATTCAAAATCTAGCACCTTTGTAAGTAAAAAAAAAACAAAGTAAAGTAGAATGGTCAAACTAGATTCATGTTTTACATGTCGTACTGACTTTGGCTTAAGAGCTATAGAAAACCTGGAAGGGCCAGGCAAATCGTTTGCTCTAATATGGCGTTATATACGTGGAGAATTCCAGAATAGGCTGTCAGGAAAAAAATATCTGAAATATGTTTTATTTCTGCTGCTTCAATTTTAATGATCATTTGTTATTCTGTGGTTTGTTTTGAATGTTATAACACTAAATTCAGAAGCAGCCATGGGAGAGCTTAGATGAGAACCAGTTCCACCTACTAGGCATCATGGAAACAATTTCTAACGTAAGTAATGACTAAGAGATATTGTGCTTATAAATATTGTTTCTGTGAGCTATTTACAACTAATCCTTTGTGGACTGCTATCATAAGCCTTAACTTTTGTGCAGTGACTGAAAAACCTACTAGTCTAAACATGCAAATAAATAAGAATGAAAGTTACCCTCGTAAATTGTTTAAAGTTTATTTATCTAACTGGAGTGATCAGACGGATGAATCGAAATGTTGATGAGATAGATTGTGATGTAGATGACAAGTCATTCGACTACAATTGAAGATACCTGAGAAGCTGGTTGGAACACGAAAATCGGTGAGGTAATTGACCACAGTTTTCAGCACTTCACAGTTAGTTATTACTAACTATTGAAACTAAATGTAATATAAACTCTGAATCACATTATAATACACTCATTTTGAACTACATTTACTTGTCCTTGTAGAGATGAAAGTGATCACATGTTAGTAGGGTAGATTCTGTTGATTGAAGAGAACATCTTATGTAAACTATCTAAATGGGAGTGTTATTTTACCACTTTGTTGATAACACTACAAATTTGATATCCTAAAAACAACCTATCAAACATCAGTAGTCACACAGCATTATTATTTAAAACAATTAGTTCCTTTGATAAATTTCGATAATGATATTAGAAGACGAAGATTATCAGAACTATGTGATATATTAGCGCAATACATTTCGAACAATCTGGTCACACATATATTAGAAGACGAAGATTATCAGAACTATGTGATATATTAGCGCAATACATTTCGAACAATCTGGTCACACATATACTTGTTAAGAGCATTTATATATAAAAAAATAAAAGGTCAACTAGACGGGAAACGGGGTAAGAGGAGATAAGCATAATGATAAGAGTAATAATAATAATAATAATGTGAACACAAAGCGAAACCTAATCACTCTGGATAATAAGTCAATATTACCAGGGTAGGTTTAAGGTAAGAACAAACTGTTTTTGAACACATAAAGGGGGTTTGAATTTTCGTATGGCTAAGGCTTCAATGAACCTTAGTATACGCCCTTTTACACTTTTATACAGCACTACAAAAGCTGAATTTAGATCAATCTTGTGACCTGTTTCAATTATATGTTTAGCAATAGAGGATTATGGATGTTTATCCTCTGCTCTTATTGGGTCACTTGATTGTATTTGTTTCTGAAGCCATTTGGGTACATGTTCACTCACCCTAATGTTGAGATCACGATTACTCCTCCCTATGTATGTGTGACCACACACACATTTAAATTGGTAAACACAGTGGGATGTGACGCAATCGTTTCCATGTACTTTAAGTTTTGAATGAAGCATGTACCTTGTTCTTTCTTTGATGATGACCTTTGCTGCGCAATAGGTTTTATTGATGACTGATTTAAGTCGTTGTTTTAGTAAAAGGCTATTTGAATCACCTCTGAATGGTAAGGTGATGTAGACAGGCTTTTTCTCTACCGAGGCTACAGTAGGTCTCGCTGAACCATGGACTTTCCATCTATTTATGAATTTCAGAGGATAGCCATTTTCTATTAACGTTTTATTTAACAACTTAACATCATCATCAATGGCGTCATTGGTACAAATACGGTCGAGTCTGTTGAAAAGACACCTTATCAAACCACGTTTGTATAGCTCCATCTACACCCAGTTGAAAACCGGATAGGATCAATAACATTCATTCTATGTATGTGGATCAAACCTGAGTACACAAATCTGCACTTTCTGGGTAATTTGTATGATTATCCTTATTATTCTATATCAAATAAGTAATAAAATACTGTAATCAAGTCAATTTAGTAGTTACCTGTTTAGAATTATACGAATCCTCAGTTAAATAACACAAAATTTTAGTTGCTGGAGGGAAGCGTTCAACGAATTTTACAGCAATAAATATTGCTGTAACACCAAGTAGCTGGTATTCTGACGGATATAAAGTTATTTGTCTCCAGGTATACTGATCAACTAAACTGACAGCTAGATGCAATGATTCTGTGCGCAACTTTAAATACTGTTGTACCTAGAATTGAAACAAAAGATAATGTATATGGGAATTTAAAGCATAAGTGATTAAATGGACAGGTAACAATTCTATCTTTTTTGTTCCATAGTACTGCTTAGATGTAAGTAATCAAATTCACATTGAGATCATTTAGCTAAGTGACTCAAACTGGAAGAATGACTAGAATCCATTACTATTTAGATGTATTCTAATTGAAAAGACTTGGTATTCTTTGCTTGGATGTTTTTTTATTTATTTAAACATGTTAATGTGAACTAACTTCATTGACTGAGGGTAGAAAAACATTCGTTCAATAATCTGAGTAATCTATTTCTATGCTAGTAACTTAATTAGATTTAATCATTTTCTACCCAATATGAAGTTAATATTTTCGTTAACTTGTTGATGGTCACGCTACTTATGCTGACAGATATTAGTAGTATGTAGCACCAATCGGAAGTAGAATGCCTGACAGCACAAGATTGAATTGACGAGAACAGTAACGGAATTAGTGAGCAATTGTGATGACAACAGGAGTGGGAGAATCATGGAGCATGTAAAGGACAACTGAAGGAAGATGTGCGGATAATGTATTTAATGCATGATTTTCATTTTTTTACCACGCTAGTGTGATTTTGCACAAAATAATCAATTGGTTTTCCTACCAAGTCATCATTCATTTCAGATGGATTATTTAGGATTGTTCATCTCAGATTTTGAAACTTCACTAATTATACGTTACAACATTATAGCTTAGCATTATTTCTTCCTAAAATGAACTCGTCAGCTGCATAAAAACTTCCACTATGTTTCTATGAATAGTATTCCTTATGGATACGGGAAGATAACTCACTTAAAGGTAAAGTTCCTGAAGTAATTTTTGTTAAATTTTTAATCTAAGTTACTGAGCACTATTCAATATCATAAATTGAATAGGACAGTTTTATTCACATTAATATAGGTGGTTCCTTTGAATGTGTTAGAGATACGTCTTATGACGGATTGTGGCTTATGAAGTCAAAAATGTCATAAATGAAATAGTAACCTATAGATATTATTCTATAATGTTCATTCTGTTACTAATTAATTGAAGTCAGAAATAAGAACTTTCTGAATCTAACTCATTAGTCTTAAGATACTTTATCTAGTTACATTAGCTAAGGATGATTTGGTATGATCCTGCTTATGATTTTATGATTATTAGTGGTGGGATGTTCCAACTTATGGTAGAACACCTGATAAATACTTCCAAGTTTTCTATAGTCTTGTCTTTTGAGAGTAGTCCGCTATGTAAGTTGCAATTACTTCTATACATTTAAATTCATATTCAGCTTATTTTTTATGTTTGTGTGTATTTGCAAAAAACACAAGAATCGCAAGTAAAGGGACTAGGCTATAGTAAATATTCAAAAGTAAAATATACTGTAATGCCATGATTATAGTAATTTAATTAGTAACTCGTCCAGTACAATTCATCAATCCAGTTTAACTACCATTGTGTTGCGGTAAACATCGTGTTGATGAAGCTTTTGAAATACATTATTGGCATTAATAAAACCTAAAAGTACAAGTTCTGTTCTAGACATTATTGTTATTCATAGAAAGATTTTAGATGGGAATAATATTTAAAATACTAAAAAATATTTTATGTTACTTTGATCCCAAACTAGCATCACTTGAAAAACTACAAAAAAAACTAGGGAGATTTGACGGCTGTTTCATCATAGTTTAGGACCTATGAACCCTATTCACAGGATAGTATAGGACCTTCAGCTCATGTAGGGACCACAATACTGTTCAACCTTTGGGTTGGAATTCAACTCTCCACACTTTCAAATCCAGTTATTTTGGATTTTAACACAATCCTGACTTTAAATTGCTTCCCAACTAGTGCTAATTCTGAATATAAATAATCCATCGATTAAACGAGATCTCTAAAAAACGACCTTCATCTTATTAATGATTAAACTCACTCTTATCATCCAATCGCAGAGAGTTGCTCTTACAGTTTCTGTCAAACCATGTCGTTCCAAGAAATTCGCCTGATAATACGAAGCCGCTTTCAAATCTTGGATGAATAAGTAACGAAAAATCTGTGTGTCGGGCGAGTAGCCATGAAAAAAATGAGAAAAATAGTGATTATTTACTAAATACAGATCAGTATGAAAGATAAAACACACAGTCCATTGTTCAATATCGAAAATACAGTTTTATATGTACAATGTTAACGCTGGATATACAATTACACATTGTGATACATGCATAAATAGCTTTTCTATCAAAAACCTAATATAAATTCATTTGCATTGGTTTTTTGAATCTTTCGATTGATGTTTAAGACTATAAATAACCAGTATCTCTCGATATGTGTGTATCTGTGACTTGGTGGCAATAACAGGGTAACCTAAACAACATCATTTGCAGTCCTAAGCATCAATGGGATGGTTCAAATAACCAATACAAATAAATGAAAATTCAACCTCATCACAGACCCCAGTAGCTATTTGGACTCAGTAGTTAAATTGACAACTCGGTGGCGTTTGGAGCGAAAAGTACTGGGTTAAAGTTCCGGGGTGAACATCAACTCCGGGATGTGGGCGCATTCAGCTGACGAGTCCTGAATAAGACGAAACATGAATCCTTGATCTCACTCCTAGTCATCATTCAACTCTGCTTATCAGGTTGATCTAAGTTTAATTACACATTGGTTACATAAAATTTGTTCTATAAAAGATTTGTCACCCTCAGAGGAAATCGATTGGATTTGGAGTGATCCCAGGTTCTTCAAACGTTTTACAATTATGAAAGAAATAGATAAGTCATATTATTGAAGTCACTCTATTGGACTATCGTTTCCATTTATAATTCAATCTTTTTGATAAACGTTAGAAAGATGTGTATGTAACACAAAGACTGATGGCACATGAGAAATTAATTATCACAGATTTGATTGATACCATCAATCTAAAAAAACTACATAGTTTAACCAGAATTCCTGAACTTAAAAGTGTGTAGGATTTATTGTATTATCCTTATCTCAGATCACTTGTTACTACAGTATAGTGAAGATTATTTAAGCAAAACTGTATAAAGCTACTACTTGCTGCTTGTCAAGAAATAGCGTTCCTTTCAAATAATTGAAAAATAGTAACCTTCATTGTGATGGTTTTTAGTGGCCCGTGGATCTGACTCTAATTAGATCGTATGAATGTACGTTATTACCTATCCTCGTATACAATTATCGACTTAAATCACGTTAGTCAGTAACGGAATTTAGATAAGTCAATTAACGAGAATGGCCTTTAAATACGTATATCTTGTATATTAAGTGAATGTAATAGAACACAAAAAAATAACGCGCAAGGTAGATGGCTGGTAAGCCAACTCCATTTCTAGTCAGGCGTTACGTAATATTTATAGGCAGACAGAATAAACTACAGATATGTGATGAGTCATGGGATATGATGTGTACACACATATACGCTCATGTAAAAACACTCAAGGATGATAAGCGAATAGATTGACAAGGTCAACACATATGACTCAAGTAGAATGAATAGATTAGTTTGTCCAAAAACTAGAATAAGACCCATTATAAGCTTAAAATAATGACTGACACTACAGCCTTTTTATTCAGTGGGATTTCAATCGGAAGTTGAAATTCAAATATTTTGTTCGTACAGTAACATCGATCATACTTGACTTTTCATGATAGCCCGAGTGTGTATCCGATTACATTAAAACTCCTTTAAGACACAAAAATATCAGACAAACAGTTAAACAAGTGCTTCTTTCGAGAATGAATCACTTTAGAGTTAAGTGTTAAACTACAATCTTCAAGGTCTTTGATAACTCCTTAAACAATGAAAAGATTGTGTAATTAACTCAAACTAATAGCTACAATTAAATTATATCGCTTGATCCATATGCATTCGTGTTTATTACAAAACGTTTTCTTACTGAACCTCAAAGAAACATTTAATTTAAATCTTAAAACAAAGACTAACTTACGCGTTCATGGTTTAAGTGAAATTCTCCCAAATGTTGTTCATCGGCTGCAGATCGTGGCAGTGAAATTACTGAACGATGACTATAGTATGGTTTTACTTTCTCGTTGGACCTATTGTTATTATTATCACAATAACATTCAGAAAGAATTTCATTTCCTGTTATTCCATTGTTAATCTCTTTTTCAAAAATTATTGGTAATTCATCAAAGAATAACGCTGTCATCATTTTGGTGCTTTCTAAAACAGACCATTTAATCAATCTTTTATCCTTTTTGCATATGTACAAATCACTTTCCTGACTAGTACTTATTCCTGTAAATTGATCATCAATTATTTGATCATATGATTGACATTGGAATACACATTCTTCACTTTTAATCTGAATTTGATTCCAATCTGTTATCTTATGTAGATTATTATCATCTAGAGTAAGCTTTCGAAAATGTATCAATCCTACTACTGAATCATCTATAGACTTGGATTTTTCTAAAGAATAATGTGAACGAAATGTAGAATGAGAGAGACCCATAATACACGAACAGTATTTATCATAGAATAATATCTAATAAAAAATATTTGTGTTCAAGTGTCCATAATCATGATACACAACAGAAAATCTATTTCATCTTTACAATCTCCTGTATGTATGAGGAATAATACATACAAGTAAATTAATCGGTTTCATTTTCGTCTAGACTGAAAAGACAAGTAGTGTATTTTATAAAAGAACACCTTTTACAACTTTAGAAACTATCGCCACTATTTGATAATTCCTCTAACCTATTCTATTAATTTATTCAACCATGTATTCCTGAACTCGAACCACAACGATCAGTTAATTAGAAGTCAATTAAATAATCATTATAACTAGGTGAAATAATAGAACAATCATGTAATAACAAGTACAACGGTGTTTGTGAGAATCTTAGAATCTTCATGCTTTCAACTATGAAGTATTCTTAGCTAGATCAGTCTAGAGGTTGAGCGTTCGCTCTCGAAATTGTAAGTCATAGGTTTGACCCCTTATGGTGAGGCTGTGGATGCGCACCATTGAGTAGTCCCATTCTAGGATGGAAAAGCCATCCAGTGCTCCCCGGTATTTAGTGATGGCCAAAATAATATCAGCTCATGATTTAAATCTTGCAATTGATTTTATATCGCATAAATTAAAAACAGGATCCCTGAACAATGATCTAATTTCAATACCTTGTAAGATACGTACTGATGGTGCAGCTGAGTAAAAATAAGATCGCATATCATTTGTCACTTGTTACGAAATAAATTTCATTCATTTTTTTGTTAGAACGACTGATCTGTAGGCTGAGATTGAGTTGACAACGATTAGGTATATTCACCGACAAAACGTGTGCCATATGAAACATTGACTAAAATCACAAAACCCTGATAACTGAATGACCAAAAAACACAATTATTACATAATCTGAAATTCTGATTCTGCTTTGAGTCTGACTGGTCCATTACTACTGAGTCCCGATATAACTAATCTCTGATATTATCTATTTCCAAGGGGCTGTCATCCAGTTTGTGTTATGCACTGATGTAAATCATCTCCAAAAACTAGATAACTTCACATAAATGGCATAAATAAAAGAACAAAAATTATATTACGAGTAATAAATTAATAACAAATTTCTCAAAAACATTTTATTACCCGACTTTAGTTTCTTCGTTTGTTCAACATTATTATTTTTGTTAGACTTTCTCAACTCCATCAAACCACGTGTTCTAATCGATTTAAAAGCACCAGTAGTACTACAGACAGTATTGCGTCGTAAACCAACATTCAAATTCTCTTTGCCAACTTTATTTGGATCCAAACAATTTTGATCATTTTTAGTAGATTGTTCATTTTCTTTATTGTACTGTACACTATGATGGCGACCACTTATACGCCGATTTTTTGATCCAGTTAATAAAGTTAATCGGCCATTACCTTTTCTGTTAGATGACATGGTTTCTGTGTCTGTGGATGATAATCCATCATGCTTTTTCTTAGGCTTTGAGAAGCAAACATTTCAAACAGAAAGTAATAAGTGTGATAACGTAAAATAATGTAGACGTATAATTGTGAGTCAACAGAAAATATTAATTATTAATCTTCTTATTATCAAGCTTGTTAACCTGATCAGTATACAGTAGCGTATGCACAGAAGGAATATGTAATTCATCTTCAAAAATGTAATCTATGCAATGGGAAACTTGAAGAATTTTTCTAAGAACATGATGGTTTGCATTCAGTAACTTATACTACTGGTGACGTTAAACAGATGTTCGTCTGTTCGTTAACATGCAACCTTATAGCATAGTCATTTCTTAATTCTGAATGGTAATATAACCACTTTAGTTTAGAAGTTAGATATTAACATTGTTGGATACCGGCTCAGTGGTCTAGTGGTTAAGCGCTTGCGCGCTAGACTGATAGGTCCTGGGTTGGAATCTCGCGAGGCGGGATTATGATGCGCAATGCTGAGGATAGTGCTGATCGATACGGTTGACAATTTATCTCAAAATTCAGTCTTATTATCTCCAAATTTAGTTCTGACGAGCATGATGGAAGACTTACAATATGCTTTGTCCAATTAGTGAAAAAAATCTTTAGAGGGAAAACTTGTTTTATATTTCACTATATGATAAATAAACCATACGAGAATGAACTGCCAATTACAAAGTTTTTATTGACAAGTCCAATGGTTGAGTATTTTTAAATCATTCAATAAGGCTATTGTTTAAGACTATTTATGTAAGACCACAAGTTATGGCTGCTGATATGAATGAGTTTAGTTCTATACATGCCAATCTGTAAGTTTTATTGAACAGATAACTTTTCGATCAATAGTGAACAACTAAATCACTTTTCTATTTTAAAAATTGTTGTATCCAGACGAGAATTATGAATGGTAACTTTGAGAACTATTTGTGGACCAATAGGATACATATATTTTTATTGTATAATTATTAAATAGCTAAAATATGCATATTCATGTTCCTCTTATGAAAAGCTTCATTTTGACACAGACTATTATTATACTACTTGATGTTCTTGAGTTATACCCAGCCTACTAAATCCAGTCTCCCACATTCACAACCAATTTTGTCTAGATCTTGTAAAAATGTTGTTTTCTATTTTATGGTACGATGTGGTCTGTTTGGTTTTGTATGTAAACTCAATATGCTTGAAATACATGATTCATATCATGTAGTTTTACATTGGTGTTCTGGACTTAACAGGCAGGGTCCGATAAAGACTCTAAACTGTTCGTACGGGTTTTGAGCGTTATTGGTTCGGTCGATAAATTACTGTTCTCTAATTGTCGGTATCATTACGTTAAATATAATAATAGGGCACAAGACCACAAGTTATAACAAAAATAATTTGCAAAACATTTATCAAGTCTATATAAAGTAGTAGCCTGTGAATACAAGTTCAGCTTTGTTAGGCAGAATGACATATGTTGTCTATTAAAATAGATCAATCCGAGCACGACGTTCAAAAGATTGGCTCTAAACAAAAATAACCAGCATTAGGGTTTTGGACCAAATTAGTTGAGTTAAAGAAATTTGTAGATTAAAGTAAATGGTGCCTAACTATGTGATTCGTTACAAAGTATATTAGACAATATAGCCATGAGCTTATAGTTAAAGGTATGCGTTTTTGGATGACATTTCTAAACAGATAAACGTTGAAAAAGATTTTTCTTTAAAATCTAGTCACTGATAGATTTTGTGTGTATCCATTTGAAGATCCAAATTGAAAAAGAAATACAAGCTGACAAAGGAACATTTAGTACGTGCACAATTTAAATGCCTCTTAAATGAACAAATATAAGTAAATGGTAGTGATGAATCTAATGAGTGTTTTATAAAAATAACCACCTTTAAAGTAGATGAATTCCTTACAAGGAAAAGTATTTAATCATCTTGGTCAACTAAGCTTAGACATTTTTTCTTATGGAGTATCCTCCATATAACAGAGACTAAACATTTTAATTGTTATCAGAACGGGTGTTTTGTGGATATTATAGTAATTTCAATAGTTGACACCATGAGTCAACTGAAGCTAGATCATCATGGAAAACCTGGAAGTACTGAGCAGTCGTTTGGTCCTGTTGTGGGTCTCCTCAGCAGTGTGCATTCACGACTTCGCCTCTCGAGATTCCAACCGAGGATCTATCCGGTTCGCACGCGAGCGCTTAACTTTTAGAAAACTGGACCGATTGGCATCCAACAGTGTTAACGTATAACTTCAACTAATTCACGTGGATGCGCACCGCGGAGGAGTCCCACAATAAGACGAAAAAGCTGTCTAGTGCTTCCACGTTTTCCATGGTGGTTTAGCTTCAACTGACTCATGATCTCAACTATTGAAATTTTAAATATTTTTCTACTATTTTATTTAAAACATATCCAACAAGATCAATTTAATACAAGCAAATCTTTCGATGAATCCTTAAGATTGTTGGTAGAATACTGAAAGTTTTGGGACTACTTGAAATTCATCAAAAAGGAAACTGAATTTCGGTACAAACTTCAGTGATTTGATATCGTTATGTATTATACCTAGAGCCTGGTATTCTGAATCATAATACCCTGATTATTTGGCTTCTTTAGTATGAGAACGCTGTCATTCTATTACTGAAATAAAAAGGGAGGTACTGGGAGGAATCATTAATTTATCATCCTTATAGAAAGTACGTTTTGTGACTTCAGTGATCAAACAGACCAAAGAAACTAGTTGGCGTGTATAACTTGAAGACTAGAAGTTTTTAGGGATGAATGTTTACGGGGAAAATGTTCTAAAAATATACTTCCTTTATATGACTGATCAATCACTGAGCAGTGGTGATAACGCCCGTAAATATGAAGCTAAGTGAAAAGGGATCAACGCCAATAGAGAGGAATAGTTCTTTCAAGATTATAGGTATATCTTGTTGATGAGTTTCAAATAGCACGAAACCCAGGACTGGGGTTTCTGTCAACTACCTCCAACCACCACCCTACATATACTCTCTTAGCTTCATTTATTCAAAGAAGATTGAAAGAAAGATGCAAAAATAAAGGGTGAGGAGGAGAAATTAGTTTTAATTGAAGAGGTTCAAAGACAATTAATTGTTCACTTTTTTAAACCATCCTGAGGTACTACAATTAAACTTTCGTTAGAAGGTTTGGCTTACGGAGCAGGGTTTTAAAATGACAAAATACAGAATTAAAAGTAAATACAACAGACGTCGATCGTCAGGATACCCGTTTTCTCACCTAGTACTTAGACTCATATTGTTGGTGTGTAAAATATAATACGACTGTTTATTCATCTACCTGACTAATCGAAATTAACTGATTAGTCAATTTTTTTAGTGTATTTATTTCAATAATATTTCCGATCAAAGCAGAGTACTGTCTTTCTATGTCCCCCTTGCATGAATGTAGTACGAAATACTAAGAAAGGAATTATCATTTACAATCGGTAGGTATTCATCTATGTATTTTATTTGGTGCAAGTATATTCAGATACCATTATCATTAATTGTTGAGCAGCATCATGTACATTTAAATAAATACAATTGGAATCCCTGATAGATACGCCATAAATAAAACAGGAATTATATATTGATTGTAATTTTATGAACCACCCAATGATAAATTAACAGAACTGTTCATCATAAAGAGATTAGTTTTTCTAACATATTGCTTGGCGAATTTTACTATCAAACATTTAGTCACAGGATCGAGTTCTTTATTACTTACAACAATTGAAGCAGTAAGTCACTCTTGTCATTCTTGAAAAAAAATAGATATCCTTATAATAGTTTAGTAAATGAACAGTCTGTAATGAAAATGAAAAGTATAAGAGAGATTTTAAACTGCATACATTTTTAATATGAATTAGGCAAAGTTTAGAAAGATTAGTTTAATACTGAAATATACACATTAATGAATGAGCAAATAGTTAATCAAAAGAAAAGACTATCCTAGACCGTGTAAACATAGATTACTTACAAATTCCCCAAAACTTCTTACGAAACGACAACCACCTGTTGAAGAAGACGATAATGATGATGATGACGACGATGATGATGATGATGGTGTTCGCTTGTCAATATATTTTAATCCACAAGATGATTTATGTAAAGTCTTTTTAAAAGTGAATTTATGTGTAACTATTGTTGGTGATCTATGTTTAAAACAATGTATCTCACAGAATTTTATATGCTTTAAACAAATTGACATTATTTATAAGTGCCATCAAAAACAAAAACAACAACAAAATTAGAAGGAACGATACTTGGTGTGATGTAAATGTTGTCACATTTACAAATTATAAATAAGAGACATATATCATTTTTAACATATTTTAATCTATTAAATCAATTAAGTTTCTTTTGTTAAAATGACAACTATAAAAGGTGCACATATACCCATTAATCCCTTTCCTATACCACTTGTTTTTCTGTGTATGAACATTATGTACACAATTAGTTTATTATCGTATAAATTAAACGAGTAATTTCATATCTCTATGACTCATAATTTAGGGCAATCATCATTGAATAGATCTCTTAGGTGCACGAAACTATTCAATAGAATAATCAGACAATCGGTTAGTTTACCTTAACAAGTGCATTCTGTTGAGCTACACATGTAAATAATCAATTCAGTATTATTATTATTATTACTATTAAAACTTATTGCTATTATTGTTATTAAAACATATTGATAGATGTCACTCCTTTGTATTCTACCGATTATTATACCCTATAAGTTATTTGATTTCAACTCAAATTATATCTGTGTCCGATTACACAGGTAGGTGATCTATTAAAGCAAATCATGATTATCAGTATAGGGGTTGTGGAGATTGTTAAGTTTTTGATTGAGATCATGAGCCGGTTGATGTTAGACCACCGTTGGGAACCTGGAAGCACTGGACGGCCGTTTCGTCCTAGTATGGGACTCCCCAGCAGTGTGCATCCATGATCCCGCTCCCCGCGAGATTCGAAGCCGTGACCAGTGGAGCTAATCCGTGTCGGGTAGAGACAAGTATCTACCTCAGTACAATGGAAGTTGGTCGCGCAATTTCGTGGATTGGTTGATGTTAGACACTAACACCATTGGATGCCGGCTCAGTTGTCTAGTTGGTTAAGCGCCTGACGCGAGACTGATAGGTCCTGGGTTCGAATCTCGCGGGGGGCGGGATCGTGGATGTGCACTGCTGAGGAGTCCCATACTAGGACGAAATGGCCATCCATTGCTTCCAGGTTTCCCATAGTGGTTTAGCTTCAATTGACTCATGATTTCAATCTGTGAAATTTGTATATATATTGATGCAAAGCTTTACATTGCCTAGATTCTATTGATTTTTTCTCATATAGTTCACAAGTCAACTTATGTAACATTACCAATTATAATGGGAAATAATGAAATTGTGAATAACTTTCATCGTGAAGTGAGTTCTATTCATAGACATATAAACGGGTGAACTGATATGCTTAATTACATCAACAGAAATCGATTAACTACGAAGATAAAAAAAATTATCTCCACAATAGCTTGTTGATAAACAAACCCCTTATCTCCAATTCAAATAGATCAATATTGAGAAGAAAAAGTTTATTTTGTCATTGTATAATAAAAGTAATACATTTTGAAAGCAAAATAATGCAGATTATTTATTTATTTGAACACATAAATATTGGTACATAGAGGCACTGAATAGATATACGCCATACAATCCACTTGATTTGTAATTGACCTGTGTTACTGCCTGAATGCTTAGACCAAGGCAGGTGGTTTTCTTAGGGGATGACACTCGGGACCATCGACCTAGAGGTCTAATCCACAAGGCAGTGGAGCAACGTCAAGAGATTCAGTCATGTTGTAGCCGGTGACTAATGATAAGGTTGATACGCCATTTGATTCATTAGGATCCTAGAGCTCATGTGCACTATTGGTTTGGAATCAGGGTTTTCCAACTGCCTTAAGTGGATCCTCCATATCCACCGACCTGATTAAAGTACCGGACATTCGCTTTTCGTCCTCTCAACTTCGTAAACAACACCCCCCTTCCCATGAGAGGGCAGTGAGTAGGACTTCCCTGGCAGTGGTTGTATGCACGTAGCCATGTGAGAGCATTTCGAGAGGGAAAGCGAACTATTCACACTCTCGGCCGTACCAGGGCATTTGGGGGCAAATAATTCAGAATGTACATGTAATGCGAATTCTTTACGAAATATACTTCATTCACTATGATTTATCTCGAAATCATGACGCTAAGGATATTTCGAATAATAGGAACACTTAGGTCGTTCAAGTTACCTAGAATATTGCTGATTTCATTCACACGATAACATCATTTTGTTGATATTTAAGAGAGTTTGCAGTGAAAAAAGTGTAAAAACTATGAGAACCTATTAATGAAATTATTTATACACAATAAAAGATAAACATATACTGACTCGTAAAGTAAATCAGTTGCTTTAAAGTAATTAAAACCGATTAAAAAGTTGCGTGAAATCCACCGTTGGAGTCTAAATGTTATCACATTTTCTGATACATATAGTCAGTTTGAACGTCTTTATGCTGGTCGTATAACATCACTCAAGTTGAAGAATAAAGTATACTTTCCAGCTTAAATCCTGTTATCTTTCATATGCATAATCATTGCAAAGTGCATATTGTGGTCCACTAATATCAAGCTAATGTTGTAAACGTCTGATGAAATGTTGACCGAAAGAATTATGTACGAGTATTTAGATAAACATCAAAATGTACTGTCAGATTGTCTAGGAAAATAATGAATGACACTGAATAACTAATAGATGAAAAGACTTGATTTCTGGTTAATTCCATTTCCAACATAATCATATATGAAGATATACTACGAACTATCACAGTATCAAAATAGTTACCGGTTGATAACAGACCATTTATTAAAATTCTTAGTATAGGAAATAGGGTTTTACAGTTCTAATTGATCATATTAACATATAAAAGATGGTCAGCTTAAAACAAAATACTTTATGAACAGTATTTCACCATAGAGAACTGGGTATTTGTTCTGGTAATTTGAAGGTGAGTCAAGAACTAGACCTGTTTTTATCAATAACTTATAACCAATATTTTTTAAAACTTAAGTGTGCAAACTTTCTTAGTTAGTTAGTGCTCTTTATGCATTCAGACTTCAATTGTCTAACATAGATTTATTCAATACTTGCTACTTGTTTCTTATTTACAATAATTAACAGGGTAGATTAGACAAGCGCTTGAAAAAAAACCCAGGGAAAATCCATGTTTTAAAACTATCGACAACCTAATGCCTTTCTATTGCTTTGTCAATCTCCTATATTAATAATCATATAAGAGGGAACATTTTACGAGTCAGTAGTAAGGAGTATATAGAGAGATATTTATGATTAATGAGTTAAAAATGAAAATTTATAACGTTGATTAAATCGATAATAACCCAGAAACTGATGTTCACTTCTAATTGCCATTAATTAGATCTAATAAACATATACATGATTATAGGTACTGGATAAGATCATCAGAAGTTTAAGAGTAGTGGGATATACAAGGATTTTAGCTGCCATATATATATAGAAAGCTTCTTTAGAGAAAAATATTTAAAAAGATTATTCATTATCCTCTTCTAGACAGGATTATTTTTAAGGAGAGTTCATCATAGTGAAAGCATTAACGGACTAGATTATCGAGAAAAAACAACAACACTTGAACTATATAATTTCAATAGCTGACATTTCTATATATATAATGAAATATTTATTGTCAAAAGTAGTACATACTTTTTAAAACTGAACTTGAAGAGTTAAATCATCTCAAGGTTTTGCTATCGAATACGAATGTTTAGTAACCAAGTTGATCACTGATACATGAATGACATTACACTCTAATTCATACTGTTTGTATAATTCTATACATCAGCGAGTAAAGTGTTAGCACTGGTAAAAGCCGAACGTAATTCGATGGTCGTTTCATCCTAGTTTGAAACTCTCTAGTGATAGATACAAATGATCTCACATGATATTGAGCTTCTGGCATATCGTTATGAACCAATCCAGCTATACTGCCTGGGATAATCGTTCCTCAAGGTCTTACCAAGCCAGACAGGTCGGTTGAAGAACAGTAAGACTAAAAGCAGCAAACCCAAAGTTCGAAGGTGACGTCATAATGCTGACTGTACGGAGGTGTGACGACAGTAACGTATTTCCTCCAGACAACCAGCATAACAGCAATGCTGTCTTCCCACAAGGAACGACGGTGTTAGAAAAGGTCAGTCCTTAAAATGCACACCTCGCTTTATCCCACAGATCCCCGTCTCCAGCGGTAAGGTCTTAACATTTAAGGAGCTAACACGAAAATTAAGCGCAGAAAGGTTGTGTGTGACCGGTTTCAAGTAGTTGTCTCTTGAGCACTGCGGTTACGCTCTCAGTCACTAAGATCACCTCTAATTCAATTTCCTTTTCAGCTACCTCCAGGAGTCCCTTTCCATGGTGTGGGCGACCAGAAAGTGATAGCTGCTTGCATACATCTAACAGAACTCAAGATCACTGACTGACTGACTGACTCAGGTCTCATTGTGAGGATGATATTGTTAAACATCTGAGACAATATCCAATTTAAAAAAGAATCAGTAGACTAGTGTTCATCAGTAACTATCTGCTACAGCCATTTATCATGTTATATCATGTAGTGACTGTTGAATTTCATCCGAGTCACTTAATGGTATCTCATTCCCCTGAAGATATGAACTCGATTTCATATGGAGTTGAATTACTCATGTTTGGTTCTCAATCATTTTATAGTAGTTATCAATTAGTCAATGACATAAACTATTTATCCACATCTTATTCACATATTTAAACAATACAAACAAGTATGAGATTAAAATCGCTTAATATCTTTCTTTCTGCGAACAAATTCTTCATTCCTGTACTATATTTTTATATATTATCACCATTGATTGAATTAACTACTATGAGTTTGGTGTTCATCTTGTTATGCTAATAAGGTATGGCGATTTGAACCGATGTATGTATGTGCCTGGTCCTACGTTGTAGATGATTGACTGACTGACTGACTGACAATACACACAAATAACAGGATATGTTTACGTTTATGACAAATATGAAATGATTGTAAAAGATAATTAACAATCATAAATTCTATTTTCAGAAGAAGTTTGTGGAGATTTTAGAAATTTCACAGATTGAAATCATGAGTCAATTGGAGCTAGACCACTATGGAAAACCTGAAAGCACTAGACGGCCGTTTCGTCATAGTGTGGGACTCCTCAGAAGTGCGCATCCACGATCCCGCACCCCGCAAGATCCGAACACAGGGCCTACTGGTTTCGCGCACGAGCACTTAACCAT